ATGTTTAAGAAAGAACATGAGAACCAAAAGTTTTACCTTAGCGTATAGTTTAACGTTGAAGCCTAGGATTGCGGCAATTGTCATGCCAACGAGGTAGAATGTCACCAAATTAATGCACATGGCCAAATGCTGCCAGCCGCATCCTCTGGCTACACCTGTAGAATCGTATAATTTCATTGAGAGAACAGATAGTCGAACGTATTCTAATAAAGATCTAGTAATCAAACCTGATAAGATTCCTTGGATAAAGTCACATAATATAGACACCACGAGAAAGGGAATACGAATTGATTATCACTTGACTGTCACTGAACGAGCTAGCCCACAAGTTATGACCGAAAGTAAGGGCTAAAACGATACATAGTGCAAGGAGAATAGTTAGCTTTAGTGTGACACTCATGGCATGCTTAGCTCGATCAGGATTTCAGGCTCCCAACTCATTATACACCCTTGTGCTGCAAAAGTAACGGCGTAGTAAAGAAGAAGTTACTAATAGAGATATTTGAAACACGCAGAATGATTTCTCGATAAGATTACCTTGCAGCAACATAGAGGCCATAAGTAGACATGTAGGCAACGGCTTCGGTATTTACACTAGAAACGTAATTTTGGAGAATTAGTACGCACACCTAACAAAAAGAAGTCCATGGAGGAGCCGGAAAAAATAAAAAAATAAAAATACAAAACTTACCACATTGCTATTAGTGAAGTAGTAACTTCCGAGTTTGGCATAAGTCCAGCCTTTAGGATAATTTATTATCTTAAACCACCGGATCTTTCTTGTTAAATCATCAAGAAATACATAAATTATAACGGAAGTGTGCCTGAATCAGACATGGTTATTTACAATAATTGAATCTCGCGATATAGTCTTCCAAATCTACACGTAGCCTGTAATTCTTTCTAGCGATGGGAGACAGAATAGAATGGGCAAAAGATATGTGTGATTCGGAGATCATAACCGTATTTATATAGCGATGCCTTTTGACCTAATTCGGCCCATCATAGAATTAGGAATCTGGGACCGGTCTCTACACATATAGAACCCACACTTTAATTGGATGCATAACGGCCCAAAATTGAAACCTTATTAATCACTTTTAACTGGACTCGAATTTGATAGCCTTTAATTTAATACACAACAATTTACACATATAAGCCCACACGATCGTTTAAGAATCCCTTACAATCTCCCACTTGGGTTATATGTGTCACCTTATAATTTTGCATTAAATATAATCTTATGAGTACTCAGAATTTTGCCATCATTACTGAATGCATCTCCAAACAATCCCGTTCATCAATCATATCAACATAGGATCAAAGCAGCTTTCGCTATTTTTATGTAGCTAACCCCATCAATGGTCACGTATATCGATATATTCGAATGACATGGATTAAGTATGGATATGTAGCATGAAAATTACATGTGATGTGATCTGTAACATGCCTATTTCCAACTGATCCACCTTAATACCTTAGTAAGATTATTTTAAACAAGTTCAAGGATAATAAACCAAATAAACCTTATAGCCAAAAATAACTTTAACCTTAAACCATATCCAAAATGACAGTATATGTGTCTAGCACAAAAATACAAAATCCCACTGAAACTAAATATCCTCAAGAGACATTGCACCCATATGAGCAGTGTGCTCATGAAAGACCTTGGGTATCAATCCCTTAGTGAGCGGATCTGCAATTATGGAGTTTTTCCCAATGTGTTCTATTGACACCTGTCCACTCCGAACTCTTTTTTTAACAGCCAGAAACTTGATCTCTATATTTTTCAACTTTGTCAAGCTCCTGTTGTTAATGGAATACAGCACTGTTGATTTATTGTCTCAAAATATCTTGAGCGATCTTTCTATGTTGCCCATAATATGCAGCCCAGTGACAAAATTTTGCAGCCGTATTCCACGATTTGATGCCTCATAGCAGTGGATCTCCTACTATCGGAATCAGAATAATCGACGATCTCCAACTGATCCGATCTCCTATATGTGAGCATATAGTCTTTTGTTCTCTGTAAATACCGCATGACCCGTTTGGATGCTTTCCAATGATCTATTCTCGAGTTAATTAAATATCTCCCTAGCATCTCAATAATGTACGCTATATCTAGACACGTACAAACTTGAGAATACATCAAACTCCCTATAA